CATTGGGAAAAGTTGCAGTGCCACACATTAACAGATATTCCCATCTGTGAGAGTGGCCAACAGAGAATTGCCATAAGTGAAATACTGAGGACATGAACAAGTGACTTAAAAAGGATATAGATCTTCTGCATTGTTGCTGCTTTGTCATTGTAAATCCTCTGTAGAGCAAATCACTGTAGATAAAGTGAATACATCCTGCAGTAAAAATGGTAAGAGGACTCCTGACTGCTTATAACTGTTTAGTGAACAGAGTTTTAAATGGGGACAAGAAAATCTGGATTCTATGGCTCTGTTCTTGACTGCAGAGGACAAGCACCTCATGTCCCCCTCTGTAAAGCTGAAAGAATCAATATCTGTTCTGAGATCTGTGGGGCAAAAATATCAAACCAGCCCTTGCTGCTGTTTGGTTTCTCATGGCCACTGGTTTCCATGAGGGTTATTTAAACTAATGTTTGGGCTCATGTCCAATACACACACAGGTTAAGTCTGAGAGATGGGTTGAGCTTCAATGATCATTTTCATGGAAGCACAGGAAATTATTGAGAGCACTTCACATGTGGGGAAGTGAGGGGAGTGAAATGAACAGTTATCAGTTACTGAGGTAATGAAGGTGCCCACCTTCCCCATACATAGTCTCCCACCTCCTGCCTCTGTTTTAACAAGCACTAGAGATTACCCTGAGATTCCAGGTTCAAATGTAAACCTGCCTAAGTTTTGAGAATTTATCTCAGATTTTTCCTCAAATCTGGGGATTTAACACTTAAGATTTGACTTGGTAGCAGGAAACTGAACTTTGGAGTGGATATGGGATTACCAAATCTGGATTTAATTCACTAATCCACTTCCGTTAATTTTTCTCATGTGACTTCACATTTTATGGTCGAAATTTTATACTTGTGGTTCAGTGCAGGTGGGACGTGTAACACGTAGTCCGTTAAATACCTACTTGCCAGGTGTCTGATTACAGACTGCAATGTGCAGGAACTATTAGGTTTAAGTCTGTTTATTGGTGAGCACAAAATAATACCCGCCAAGCTCAGAGGTCTTGGAGAAGTGCTTTTAAAATGAGCTTTATAACACCCAGTAACAGTTAGGGGAACAGAGGGTTGATAGGCAGCAGTGATGGCCAGTTGCCTAGAATATCAGTTCCTCTTCAATAACTTTTGTATGCCAACTATGAACTTATAAACAGTTATTTTCTTTATTCATTGTCTGCTTATTGGTGTCATGCCCTCATGATGACTCCTGCTAAAAGGGGTGACATAAGGTAGCTCAGAATAAAGTTTTTGTGTGCAAACAGGGCTCAACTGTGTGTCTATGCACACATTTTTTAATTGCTCCTTTGAAGCTGCCCATTCAGGGACAGTAACCAAGCATCTAGGAAGTATAAAAACAACAAAGAAGTGTTCAGATGTTTCTCATAAAGCAGATTCTTTTTGGGGGGTTAGTTCTGGTTCTTTTTTTTCCCCCTTAAACTGAATTTAGGTCACGTGATCAGAGTCAAATTGACAGCTTTGAACAATAACTTAATCTGCTTGCTCACAGGAGAGAATAGCAGGGACAGCCACAGGACAATGTTCCTCCCTCACCCATGTTCTTGGGTACACAGAGACTAGCTCATGCCCTTGGCTCAACAAGTTCTTGAGATGTTCAACAGAGTTGCCTGTTGTAGTGTTTTGCTTTGAGTGGGAGCTGAGCTGAAAGAAGTGAATGCTTTCATACAAATCAGCAAATAGCCAATCTAGAAGTGGCAGTCAGGGAAATATTCATGAGGGATATCTGCAGACTAGGGAGAGAGGAATCTTGGATGTATTATTTAGAGGTCTCCAAACTTAAAAGTGTAATGTGAAGTGGCAGTTCAAAAAGGCAACAAAATGTTGGATGTTGTCAGGAAGAGTGTGAGAGCAAGACAGAGGGTACCATTTTGCCACTAAATATATTTGGTGCACCCACAAAGTGAATGCTGTCTGCAGTTCTGGTCTCTGCATCTCAAGTAGGATATATTAGAGTTAGAGAAGAGACATTAAAATTATTAAGGTTTTGGAGAAGCTGCTTAATAAGAAAAAAGGGAAGAGCAGCTTGGAGAAGAGAAGGCTGAAAAACCATATGCTTGGGGTTTAGAAGATCATGAAGATGGCAGATAAGGTGAATGCTGAACTGTTATTCCACCAAATCCTGCAGTACTAGGGGGAACTTGTTGAAACTAGTAGGAGAAGATTTAAAACAGATACAGTGCTTAGACAATGAAAAGGGAGCTTCTGGGATTTGTTGCCACAGGAGGCTGTGGAGGCAGGCAGTATCAGAGGACTCAAAAAGGTCCATTAAAAACTACCAGAGGGAATAGGCAGGGACATAGCCTTTAACATCCTTAATACAACAATTGCAGATGCTGGGGAGCTTGAAGGGACGGGCCCACAGAAAGCAGCCAGGCTCACATTCTCTCTCCAAATAGCATCTACTATTGCCACTGCTGGAATGAAAAAGGGGGTTAGATAGACCACCAGCACAACCACTCAGGGAGTGTCCTTATGTAGTAGTGAGGCACTCCTGTCTCCATGCTGTGGAAAGAAGAAAGCTCCTGAAGGTGATTCAGAGTAAGATCTAACTGTTCCTGCCCTGAATCACCCTCAGGAAAGCCCATCACTCATCACCAATTTCAAAGGAAATTTACTCTAGACAAAAGGAAGTCTTGTGAATAACCACGTTAATCACAACAGACACAAGCTGAGTTTGAACTCTTGCTCTAGAACAGACAAAAAGTGTCATATATAAAAACTCAATCGAGGCACTCCACAGTCATTTTGGTGAATGCTTTTAAGAGCAAAAACACTGTATCAGATTATTGGTTAACTTTGATCACCAGCAACTGGAAACATTTCCTCAGCCAGTGATGTTGAAGCAGTATGTCAAGCTCTGGTTAAGATGAAAAGTTAAGAAAACATTTTTTGTATACATTAGACTGCTTTCTCATAGTCTCAAAGCTGAATCACTAGGAAAGACTGCCTCTGCTGTCTAGCTGCAAAGCTGGTCTGAATCGCCCAGGTATGGCCAGATGTCCTAACATTTATGGGAAGTCTGCTGCATGTTAGCATCTGGAAATGAAACAGGCTGTGAGGCTGGAATAGCAGGATGACTTCTGACTCAGAAAGAAGGGTGAAAGTCAGGATGTGATTCTTTTGTGTAAAAGCTACCCCAGTAGATTCATTTGAGCACTCCAGCTCAGAGACATGAAATAACTGCTTAAGGGACAATTAAGTATTTCATGACCTGATTTCTACATACAGTGAGCTATTTGGATGTGCAAATATAGACATATTTGGACATAAATTACTAGAGTTACACATGTGAAACATTTTTAGGCATCTGCTGAAAACCTGGTCACTCCAGAAAAAAAATTAGTTATTCCCAAGCATATTCTGAGATTCAAGAAAAGGCTAAAATACAGTACAAACTGCACAGAATCGAAACTTACCTTTTGAATGTTTTCTAACTGTGAAGTCAATTATAAGGGATAAAATGACTGATCTCTGGTAGCACAAATACTTGGTATATAAATTTTCTTCAGAAATCAGCTGATTAATCACCACTAAATCCTTTGAAATAGCTATATGTCTTTTTTAACTTTGAAGATATGAGGTGGGAGCTTGCTCATGGTACTTAATTTGCTGTTCAGGGCTACCAAAGAAGTCTGTGGTCAGGATGGAAATGGGAACCTACCATGATTCTCAAGCTTTTTTCCTACTTGCTAAAATATGTTTCTACCTACTTATGAACTGTAAAACCACACAAAGCTGCACAAAGCCTCTGACAGAAATGTTTAGAATACAGTTAACTGGTCTGCAGTTGACCATTTCAGTATCTGTAGTACTCCTCAGCTCATCTTCTGGCTGAGTTTCCAGATATTACCATTGGGACCATTATTCACTGATTTAGTTTAGAAAATTCTGTTTGTTTCACTAACAAGAAGTCTTTTGTGAAAGTGAGAAGTACAATGTTATTAGTGTTTGGACAAGTAAACAGTTAGTTTGCACACTCTATCTTTTGTTTAATTAATGTTCAGAAAGGGCATTTGAATTTCCCAGCTCAGAGACAATTTTGGTAATATAATGTCCAACCTCTGCAGCTCCAATTTGGAACTGTTTTCTTAGTGCTTGTGGGACAGAGAAGTTGAAAGTAGTTTCATACAGCCTTTATATTATCAGTGCAAGTGCTGTACACCTCGCACAAAGAAGTTCGTTTGATGGAAAGAGCCCAAAGTATCTGACCTTCTCTCAGAGCACCCCCTACTTATAGTCTGGGCTGCACAATGTAAATGCTGTTACTCCACAGGGGTAAGAATTCAATTTATACTGGTAGTGCTTTCACAAGAGCATTTCAGTTCAGTAGGTAAATATTTCCAGGTGGCCAAGTCTAATTTTAGGGAGGGCAAATTTGCAGAGGTTAAATAGCAAACAAGATTGTTATAAGTCTCTATCAATTTGAAAAAAAAGAAAATGTAATTTAATACAGCATTCTTCCAAAGATTAACCGGAGGCTTGACACACTACATAGCATGTCTGACTGTGTTGTTGCTATTAAAATCCATGTTCCAAACATTCGTAAGCTTCTTTTGTAAAGATATTCTGGAATTAGCAATGAAGAAAAAAGATATCACAATACCAGTAGATGAAGCAGAAGATGTGGATCATGCAGCTTTATGTTGGAAAGGCCATTAGGGGAGTTTTTTACTAGTTCTGAGTCTGAGTGTGCGTGCATTGAATGAACAGAGAAAGGGAAGAGCCTGCTTCAGGCCAACAGAAATATCTTGCAACTGTAAAATGAAGCAGAAGAGTTTAAATGGTGGCTCCTATTCAGAAGTTCCACCGGAAGTGTCCTTCCAGTTTCAAGGGCCCTTTGTGATGTCAGATGCTGTTAGCCCCTTGTTAGTCACTGCCAGAGGAAAAAAAAAACCCTCAGCAACACACAACGAAATTTGGTCAGTTTGCTCAGCTGCTGTTGATGTCACCCCTTGCCCACTAAGAGTAAGTTACTGTAATAATCCTCCCCTTTTATTAATCATAACTTTGTAGAAAGCAAGAACTGGGTGACATCTTTATTGAAGAGGACTGGGTCAGCTTTAGTCAGCTTTGCTATAACATCTCTTGTGTGTCACATGAAAATAATTACCAGCTCTCACTTTCCATGTCGGACCAATCATCCCCTTTTTCCCCCTTATGAGGCTACAAGCCTCTGCCAATTTCAAACACCTGCTGAAGGTGTAATATATTTAGAGGTGAAAGAGACTATCTTTAACTGGAAGTTGGGATATTCCAGGGGATCCATATCATATGAGGCCACTTGCCATATAAACCATTAATGGTATTTATTATAGTAAAAGCATCATCTTCCATAGTATAACATATTAAAGTGCCTCAGATACAGGCTATCTCACACTCTGAATGTGATTTCAGCATTGGTATATTCCAGTATGTTTTTGCTGCTCTGCTTTTGTTTTGGATAACATAAAATGTTTGTCTCCTTGAACAACTATCTATATAAAAAAAGACAAATAAGCTAAATTTCAAGGGCATTTTTTTCATTGTTGATTTTTTGAAAGATATTTAATTAGTTATTTGCTAAGAAGTCAATGCCTTTTTGTTTGCTGACCTATTGCCTAAGACTGAAGAAGAGACAGACTCTACCCTTCACTTTTGCCTCCATATTTCAGTCATTTTCAGGACAAAAATACCTTCTTACTTCAAGAGAAGTGCAGTTGAGAAGAGGAATTTAGACAGTAAGGGAAGGTTATTTCATTAGGGCAAGCAATTTTTTCACACCAGGGAAGGAAATACAGGAGTTTGAGTTAGACAGTCTGTCATGTGTCTGTCTTCTAGTTGAGATGTTTTCACTGTCTGATACCTTCTCTTGCTGTAGAGACTTGAAAACTGTCATTAAAGTTACATATTAACATTCTCTTTGGAAAGTTAGTTGTTTGAGATTCATAAGTTTTTCACTGATAAACAGTCTCCTCAGGTGAAGTTATTCTTGTATTTTTTCCAAAACCTTTATGATTTTGTGCCCCTGCTTCAAAATCTCTTTTTTTAAAACAAAAACAAACCAAACAGGAAAAAACCCCAAAACCCCAAACAAACAAACAAACTTTGTAGTTTCATAAACAGAAGAAGTACCAGTTTGTTACTTTTTTGCAATACAGTACAAGGAGCTTCGCTCATTTTGTTTATTTACTGTGACCTTTTAAGGTTTTCCCCTGGGGCAAAATGCCACCTGCTGTATGACAGGTATTCTCTGTTGGAAGGTGTATTGCATTGGTCTCCATGGTACTAAGAAATCTGTAGCGCACTTGAGAAGAACTTAACGAAGTTTGGTCAGCATGTAAGATAGGTCACCTATACAGATCCACTGTCAACTAAGCACTCTGCATAAGTGATCTATATTATTATTATTATTATTATTACTTTGACACCAAACTTGCATTGCCTTTAGCAGTTTCCAGCAATGATTTAATATTATATTCTATGTTGTGTATTCAGATTGCAATACTGAGACATTGGAAGGTTCAGTGGAATTGAAATGATTTGCACTGTTCTAAGCAGTTCCCAATGTGCAATAGAAATTCTTACCTGTGTACCTGTTCTAAACTTAGGAAACTCTGAATTTTTAGGAATCAGATAGAGTGTAATGAAACTAAGTCTTTTTTTAATAGCTATAAAAATATTAAAATAATTTTTAATATTTCACTATATTTTGTAATATTTATAGGTAAATATTTAATTTATGTAATGCATTTTACACTTGAAAAAATGCATTTGATCTGGGTTTTGTTAACATAAATACATTATGGCAAACAACATCTGTAGTTATTGCTAAACTTGAAAGTAATCCATTATAAAACATGCATGCAGTCTCCCATTTTCCTTTTTACAGAAAAAAAACATGGAACAGAAATATTTATCATTCATGTTTGCTCTTTTTCCTTCATTACTGCTGACATAAAAATTCCAAATAGAATTTCACTTGATAAATTGGAGGTGTTCCATTTATGCCTGATTTATAAACTAGTTGGGACAGGAGGTATTTCTTTTTGCAATTAACATGTATTGATCATAGAGTTTCATTAATACTTTTAGCATTCCTCTGCATCTAATTTATATTCATTGAAATATCATGCTGTTCAATATTTCAGCAGAATCTATAATTTTAATGGGTTATCAAGAGCTTTAGTGGAAAAGGAAAATCATATCACTAAAGAACACCCATAAAATAAGATGATTTGGAGAAATACAAATTACTACAGATAAGCAACACTTAATCTGATGTCAACTGATCTGGCTTAATCTTCCAGTCCACTTAGGTTAGCCATAAGTTGCCATAATGTTTAAATTATCCACCTTTCTCAAGGCTGTCTGATTTATATTTAACATCATGATATTTGTCATATATACCATTTTGCCTGATTTTCTACTTCAGTCTGTCTTGAAATTCTGTGTGATTCTGTGAAATATGCTATAACCTTTAAAAAGAAGTTGACCATGTCAAGTTTGAACAGTGTTACTGGAAGAATGCAGGAAACTTGCACTGCTTCTGGCTGTAAGATACTGTATTTCGTGCATAAAGGGGATTTTGGTCCCCAAGCCATTAATCTGGCACCTTTCATGAACACTAAATTCACAGCCAAAAAAGTTTAGCCTAGGAAATATAGAATTCTGTATCCTTTTCAAATCTCAAGGAAAATATAGGCAGTTGGAAGTTAATTAGAAGCTTAAAATTTGGCTGGAATTACTTAATGTGCTTATTCATGAAATTCAATGTGCCTAGATTTGCTAACTTGCCCCATACAACCTCACTCCAGTATTTGCATTTTCACATGATAATACATTTGAATGTGTATTAGCATCACGCTGCAAAACATGCTGCTCTACCAAGCAACATTATAAACTTAAGTTATAAAAAATTTTATGTTGTGTAGTATTGGCTTGATTAAGTGAGTTTCTGTATGTTCATGTATGATTGCATCTACATATGTATATATATAGACATGAATAGGTGAGTATGATTTTTTATGTGTATGAAGCCAAGTGCTTCACTAGCCAATTTTTTGGAAATAACAGGAAGGAGGTAGACTTTTAAAGTGTTTCTATATGGATTGTCCTGTCAGTTTATGTTTTTTAAGCACAATTTCTCTGGCCTGTATATGCACCACAAATATCAACCTCATTCCCTCAGAACAAAGAGCAAGGGCAGATTTAGGCACTGTACATCTTCCTAATGGTTGTGACAGTAGGGCTGAGCATTGTAAACACTGCATTGTGGCATTCAAGTAGATGAATCCCACTGTTGATTTCTTAACTGCATTTAGTTATCTTATGCAGTTATAGATGACTGAGGCTTCCCTTTTTCACACCAAGTGCACCAGGCCATTTCAGCCGCTCTCAGTTCATATGGTGTCTTGCCAAATGTTTTCTTGACACTTTTCTTGTGAAAGCCTTCTTGCCAAGGGCTTTGCATCTTATTTCAGTTTCAGACTGTGACATTCATTTATTATATTTGAGGGAGTAACACTTGTGGAGTCTCATCTCCAGGGATTCCTCTTTGAAAGTAGGTTTCTGCTCTTCTAGAAACTAGTCTTTCTTTTTCTAGCACAAGGCAGAGATTGCACAATAGGAACGTCATTCTTATAATTGCTCACAAGGTGACCGAGGCTGTTATGACTCCTAACACCTCAGGGAGACAAGTGAACAGATCACTGGAAAGACTGGATGCTGGTCATCATCCCTCATGCCAGTCAAGAAGGGGTCAAAGTACTTCTGAGTTTACCACAGGCACTGATGCTAAGCATGGCTGTCACCATAGGTCTGTGAGATCCATCAGCTGTGGTCCCATTTCACATATTTCCATTTCAGTGGTTGTGTGCTTATTGCCATGAGATGTGGCAAGTTTGGTACTGTAGAATAGATTGATAACTCTTCTACCTGTCAAACTTATCTTTCAGGGCAGAGTTCTCCAACTCTCGTGCATTTATAATGCTTGCCAAGCTGAGTATCACTCCTGATTGGCATCTTTGTCCTTGGATATTTCCTCTTTATACTCAAGATTTAAAGTCTCTTCCAATGACAGCCCAGATTGCCAGTAATATAAATGTCATTGTAACCATTATCTCTGGTCTTTGTAGCTGTCTTTCAAAGTTTTTTTCCTAGGAGTCCTATTAGTCCTAACTAATTACAGGTCCCATTTTCAACCATCATTCTCTTGGAGTTCCTGAAGACTTCAATTAAAAAAATCCAGATTATTTTCCTCAGAAAATCACTGGGAAAGTTCTACTCAATATAGAGGAGAATTTTTGAAAATATCAAAAGTTCTCCATGCTCTGTTTTGGGACATGACTGAACTTTAAAGCACTATACCTCTTAAAGTTCCTAATAATTTCTGTTGGAGTATTATAACAAATGTTTTCTTGAAATACAAACTGTCTTACTTTTCTAGGAAGTTGCTGTTAATACCAAAGAAAGATTTGTGGATGTTCTGGCACACAGTATCTCTGATGAAACCCTGTTCACTTTTTACTATTCAGCTGCATGTAGCTACATGCCCTCAATTACCCTTTTCTTTAAAGCCCTCATGAGATCAGTCAAAAGTCCTTTTTTTGCCTGGATCACATTTCCCCCCAATATCTCTGGCAGCCACATTCAAAATTTGCCAGTAATTCAGTGCTCCCACAGCTTGACAGATTGATTAACAGATTGTTACCAGGCTTACTGCTTAACAAGCCAATTTTTTTTTAAAAAGAATTTGGGATGGCAGTTACCTTGTGATTTGAGCATGCTTAGCTGTTTCAGTTTTGGTTTTGCTTCAGATGTGTCCATTAGAAAATCTCGTTTACATTCACTCTATAAGCTTCTTTAGGCTCAACAGCTGCATCTTTGCTTGAAAACTGAGGCAACGCAATCAGATCATTGTTGGAGCCACACCTTAAGTCCTGTCTGACCCTTTCTACACAGCAGTAATTCTTGTTATTTTATTATTT